AGACTAGACTATAGACTAGACTATAGTCTAGACTATAGACTAGCATAGACTAGACTATAGACTAGACTATAGCCTAGACTATAGACTAGACTATAGACTAGACTATAGACTAGACTATAGACTAGACTATAGACTAGACTATAGACTAGACTATAGACTAGACTATAGACTAGACTATAGACTAGACTATAGACTAGACTATAGACTAGACTATATTCTAGATTATAGACTAGACTATATTCTAGATCATAGACTAGAATATGGACTAGACTATAGACTAGTCTATAGATTAGACTATAGACAAGACTATAGACTATGCAATGGAATATACTATAGACAAGACTATAGACTGGACTATAGACAAGACTATAGACTAGACTATAGACTAGACTATAGACTAGACTATAGACTGGACTATAGACAAGACTATAGACTGGACTATAGACAAGACTATAGACAAGACTATAGACTATGGAATATACTATAGAATAGACTGTGGAATAGACTATAGACTAAAACTTCTCTGTTGTGCCTTCAATGTTTCATTTGTTTGGGTTGTCTCATTCTCCAGTATTGGAGTTGTGATACATACCCTCGCTGTCAGTTAAAGTGTAATTTGTTCATAGGGGAGATTTCAACATTTTTGTTATACAAATGTTTATGAACTCTTCTTCCCGTTGCCACATTTTGTAATCTTTTAGGATATAGTAGTAACGAATACAGTAAAGTTGCGCTTCTATAATATGTGCCACTGGACATTTGATCAAATTCCTTAAATTGCCAACAGCCCTCGTAGACACTTGTAATTTGCTGTTTATATATTTATTTTTTCCCCCATTTTTTTCTCCAATTCAAACAAAAATCATTATTACTAAATAACTGGTATTCACAAATAGTTACATATCGCATCAGCATCAGAAAAATACAAGTAGTTGTCGAACTGCCAGTATAGACGCGGTATCATCAAGATTCTGATTTTTTTGTTTCAATCTTGTCATGGATTTCGTGGTCCTCTCATCTTCGGTCTGCTACATACTCATCGATGTCATCCTCATCTTCTTCTTCATTGGTAAACCATAATCAACAGTTTTGTTGTTAAGTTGCATTTATCAGTGCATTGTTTTCTTAATATTCCCATTTATACAAAATATTTCTTTCCTAATATTGCATTTTGTTTCGTTTGGTTTTTTTTTCGCTGACTTTTTTTCATTTGCCTATTGTTGTTTTGTTAGGAGTATGTATTTGTTAGTTGTTTTATTGCAGTCGTTGTTGGTTTTTATAACGTATTCCTGTTGTCCACAGGAATGTTGCCGTAATGTCTACTCCTATGTTTCTTGCCATTCAACATAGATTTCATACATTGGAGTCAAGTAGCATGTGCCATGTCTATTTTTTTTTTGTTTGTGCGAATGTGTGTTTTATTTCATTTTTTTGTTTGTTCATTTCTTAAAATGAAACATACAAGTCTAAAGTTTTTTTTTTCTCCTCTACACACACGTGCTAAAATTATGTATGCATGCAACATTTAGTCAATATTGTTAAGCTAATGTACCCTACTGCATGTGAAATTGATCAATTGTTTGTAATTAGAAACCAAAAAAAAAAAAAAGTTTATTGTACTTAATGTGTTCCGATAATTTTCATAAATTTGTGAAAAGGACCTTGGTTAGTATCCAATAATAATTGATTGTAGACTCGTGATGGTTCGTGGCGTTCAAGTTTAACCATTCTGTTGTTAACGGACGATCTTAGAACTTTCTAGCAACAATACTTACGTCACTTGATTTCACTGCTTTTTCCAGCATTTAATTTTCAATTCCGGTCATTTCACAGTTGCCTTTTAGGGTGTATCAAATGGTCACTTTCAATCGATTACCAATTTTGTTGCATGTTTCTTTCAACTTTGTTGTTCAAACAAACAACAAAAAATTAACAAAAACCATACATTCATTCATTCAACTAACAATAGTTTGAGTTAAAGAAAAGCCAAAAAAATCATATTTCATGTACCGGAATATAATTTCACTTGTTTTCTCGTTTCATTGTACTCGTACTAAAAAAAATGTTTTTCTTTTCTTGTTCATGAATTGACCAAACATTGTTTATTTATTTATGTTTGTTGATTGGTGCTTTTATTTCTTTAGTTTTAGATTTTTTTCTCTGGTTTGATCATTTTGTTTGCCAGTTAATGTGTGTTGGCGTATTCGCCAAAACATGTGTTGATCCACATTCTTTTTTGTTTGCAAAAATACAAAAAAAGGAAAACAAAACTGTGGCAAAAATTAGGTTCGGCTATAAAGTGAAATCTGCATAAATTATGGTTTGTTTTGATTGTAGTCAAACAGACGATGTTCAGTTGCAAAAAATACCCAGTGGTACATTGTTGATAGATAGAGGAGTAATATGCAAAATTCCATGTTACCGGTTTTACGTAAGTAAAGTTTCATGGTATGTAAAGTTTCTGGCAGGATATGTAGGAAAATATGTAGAAAAAGCTCATAAATCATCGGTTTTTAGATTTTATTTTAATGTCCATATATTAAGGCGAATTTTGGGGAACATTATAATTTTCTACAGAAGGTTATCAGAGTCTGTTATGTTCTATCTGCATATAATTCTGCTCTTAGACTCAGAGAATCGAGTTCATTGAGACGGTTTCAAGAAACTTAATATATACAAACAACAGGCTTTAACAGGATTGGTCTACAAATATTATCTTAAGGGTTGAATTGATCTAAGTCCACATTGATGGATTAATAACTATTAGTGGTACTAGTTCCATCATTTTCTTTAATGATAGAGGCCACTCCATAAGATTGTTTAAAATTGACGTCATCGATATGAACGAGAGACATCGATCATTAATATCTATCGATGCATTTTAGTCCAGTATACTAGTCTTCTCATTACCTGGTCTAAATTAAAATGATTCTTTGTCGTTGGAAAATTAACGAACATCCTTAAAGATGTTCGTTAACGGCGGTAACGAAAACTATTGAGAGTAGAAACGTTTCTCAGGTGGTCACCCTGAGAACCTTCCTTGTAGTATAAAGAAAATGCTCTGTCTATGCTTTTCACAGAAAAAGACTTCGCAAACAATGACCCTTCATATAAATTATTATAGATATTTATTCATTAGGGTGCATTGCGTCAGATTTTGCCATTTTAGAGGGACTAAACTCTGTATTTTGAAATTATTAAAGGTAAAGCTATGGAAACGTCTATACATAGAGGGAAAAGGAAATATACATGCCTGGTACCAAATTGACACCAAAGAGTTTATAATTTTTCAATAACATCCGTTTTTAAAGTATATACATACGTACGACAACACAACAATTCGTTGTCGAAATCTAAATTTTATACACATCCGTTGTCTTAATGTTAACAAACGTTGTAAGCTAATTATTGGCAACGGATTGTTTGTCAGTAGTGAGCTTACCACGTTTGTTAACATTTAGACAAGGAATGTGCATAAAATTTAGATTTCGACAACGAATTGTTGCAATGTTGTCAACATTACATAGTGTTGTCATACGTATGTATATACTTTGACAACGGATGGTATTGAAAAATTTAAACAGTTTGGTGTCAATTTGGTACCAGGCGTGTATATTTCTTTTTCCATCTGTGTAGGCTATATCACCACTATAGTGGTGCGTTTGTTGTGATGTTGTAATACCCAACAATATTGGTCCTACACCCACCTTAAAGTATACCAATCGGTTTTCTGTTTCTAAGTCGATTTAGCTTTGTCCGTCCGTCCGCCTGCCCGTTGGTCTGTCCGTCCGTCTGTGTGTCCATGTAAACCTTGTGTGCACTCTACAGGTTGCAGTTTTCCAGATAATTTAATGAAATTTGGCACATACGATGCCTATTGAAAATGGTTAAAATCGTTCCATTATTTCGTATAGCCCCCATACAACCGTATCCCCCCGAATAGGGCTTTTGAGCTCATAAATATGTTAAATGTTCTTTTATTACTTACAAAACTAAGTTTTATATAAGTCTTAATGATACTGTTGATTTTCGTAATGATCGGGCCTTATTTGTCCCTATCCCCCATACAAAGTACCCTTCAGAAAATGACTTGATCAAAATTCACTTATAAGCACTAATAACACTATGATATTCTGCATAAATAACTCATGTAGACGTAAATTCCTCTATCAAAATTTATAAGGACAGGACCATATTAACCCGCTTAATCATTAGATTCTAAGACAATCTAGCCATGTCCGTCCATCTCTCTGTTGTAGACACGATGGATGTAAAAGAAAAAAGCTAGAGAGCTGAAATATTTGCGCAAAGTTTTTCCAGTGATAGGTTTGGTATTGAAAATGGTCTATATTGGTCAATCACTCTATAAAACATTGCGGACAGAGGTCTAAAATTGAATACAGAGTTCGAAAATGACTTTAACGCTTATTACTAAATTAAAGTGATGAAATTTGATATAAGCTAGTTTTATAGGAAACTAAATCTCTCTGACAAATTTTATGAGGATCGGTTCATATGAAGTCTGAAAACAAGTTTAACTCTCATAACTGCTTTAAAATTACAGTATGTATAGCAATAAAATTCGGCATTAGCAAGTCTTTTACGAAACATTAGCAAGTCTTTTACGGACCAGAATTGGCCTTACCGAAATCTCTCTCCCAAGTTCTATGAGGATCCATTCATAATGGTATTTTTAACTTTACAAGGAATACTACGTTTTATTTGTAGAAACAAATAAAAAACTAATAAATTATTAAATTGTGGTAACAAATAACAAGAGGATCGATTGAAAGGTAGACCTATACTAACCTTTCGAAACGTATTTGAAGTTTATGGCACATGATTTGATGGTACGTATATAAGATTCGGCACTTGTACTTGTTATTTTCCAAATAAAACAATATATTTTTTAACACTAGTACATATGTATGTATATTAGAGTGCATTTATTTTGAATAAAATAGCTTCTCAGTGTACATTTTTAGCAGCTTAACTTTGCTTTAATTCTTTTCGGTTCTGGCAAATCCCTTCCAAAGACGTTTGAATATTCTCCGGCGATAGAAAACTAACAATTCACACACAAACACTAAATTGACAAACACCAACATGATACCCAAAAATATTAATATATATTGTAGATCATTAACAGTCATGGCCCGAAATTCCTCTCTAGCACTTAAATCTTTTAAGATTAATTTATCGGCTGAAATTAATTCCAAAAAACCATATTCACTCCAATAGAATGTCAAACCCGATTGAGCGGTTTCCAAAATCAATTGATAGATTAAAGAATTGAAAATGGAATTTTCATGTACGGGAAAACACATGGGTATATTATTGAAAAAACAAAAATTGTTCGATTGTCTAAAGAGAGGTGTAGTGAATAGCTTCTGTTGTTCCTGGACAATGATCCATTTAGTGGTAGGTACCACATAACCATATTTGATATTAAAAGAATCACGTTTTTCCAAATAATCCTGATAATCTTGTACGAGATAGAAGAGTGAAATATATTTTTGAAATCCTTGTACACGACCCAGCAGCTCATTATATTCCGGTTCCCACGCAATAACTTTTAAGCCAGATCTTAAAATATCATCAAATGAATTGAGAAACGCCTCTTTGGGTGGCCTGGTAACGTAGGTAGATAAAAAGGAATTATAGGTGGTGGTGAACAATATACCAAGAGTGCAAATTTGCAAATAAATAAATCTTATTATGCGGGGTGGATTAGTTATTTGCGAAAACGATTGACCTAGAATACCACGCAAACAGTCATCGTGACAAAATACATCGAATAAATCTGCACGATAACCATGTAGATAATGAGCAGCACTTAATATCATGGATATAATAATTAAAACGGCTATAACCAATACATAAGTGGTACCTTTGAAGACGGATGTAAAGAACTTATAACCTGGTATATTGGCTTCTACTGGAATCATAATGCACCAATTTAATTGTTCGTAAGCATACGAATAACCAATAAAAGGTATCTGGGGAAAAGTTAAACCAGCCGATAACTCCACGGTGCCATTACGTACAGCTTTAATAAGATCTTGTGAGGGTATGGGTTCATGTGGATGAAATGGCAATGGTTGTACGAGAACACAGTTGTATTTTTTAGCAAATGCCATAATAAAATGACCCACAAATCCACCAATTATTTCTTTGCCTTTAGTAGTATTGTAGGGTATAATGCGTGGATCTGAACCACCTATAACAATGGGTAATTTATAGCCTTTAAGATTGCCCAAACGATATGGATAAATTTCGCTTTGGTTTTGGGGGTTTAAAGTAATAGTTTTAATCTCCATTTGAAATTCAGGAAAATGAGTGTAACTGTAGAATTTTCGAGAAGTCTGAAAGTAAAGAAAACGTTTATTGTAAGAATAGGTTTTTACTGATTACAAAATGTCTATATAATTATGAATGTGTGTTTGTATGTATGTATTTCAGGTGGGCGAGGTGCCACACCCTTAGGCAATATAATTATTATAAGTAGCATATCGCTGAAATAGCTACAGCCAAAGTTTTAACAATTTATACATATGGGTACAAAATTGGAAGCTTTTCTATAGAGGGCGTGGCACCTCCCACATAAAGAAACTTTCAGAGAATATAATAGCTAGAGTCCGGAGCCATTTTAGGACAAAAAATGGGCGGACTTGCAAAAGTGGGTGTGGCACCTCCCATATGGATAAAATACTAAAATATGTTTATTGGCGAAATTAAAAAAGTAATATATTTTCAGTTAAATAATATTTATTGAACATTAAGTTCATAAGGAAATGATAATCTTTCCAAAATTTTTTCTTTAAATCGAAAATCAGATATATTTTTTTTAATTATTTTATATTTATTTTATTTACCTCTATTCATTTTCAATTTAATGTATTGTAATCATTCCCAACAATCTCCTCAAACGCTTAAAAACTCTTCGCCGATAAAAAACTATAACTTCTGCCAAAAACACCAAATTAACCAACACCAACATACCGCCCAAAAATGTGAATATATATTGTAAATCCTCTATGGTCATGGCACGAAATTCCTCTTTAGCACTTAAATCTTTTAAATTTAATTTTTTGGCCTCAATCAATTCCAAAAAACCATATTCACTCCAAAATACTGTCAAACCTGATTGAGCCGTTTCCAAAATCAATTGATAGATTAAAGAATTGTAAATAGAATTTTCGTGAACCGGAAAACACATGGGTATGTTATTGAAAAAACAAAAATTCTTTGATTGTCTAAAAAGGGGAGCGGTAAACATTTTCTGTTGCTGTTGGACAATAATCCATTTTGTGGTAGGTACTACATAACCATATTTATTATTGAGAGAATCACGTTTCTCCAGATATTCCTGATAATTTTTTACAACATAGAAAAGGGGTATGTATTTTTGAAATTCTGCTGCGCGCCCTAAAAGTTCTTTGTATTCGGGCTCCCAGATAACTACCTTAAGGCCCGACCATAAAATACTATCTATCGAATTGAGAAAAGCCTCTTTGGGTGGTCTAGTGACATAAGTAGAGAAATAGGAATTATATGAAGTGGTTAGCAACATTCCTAAAGCACAAATTTCCAAATAAATAAATCTTATTATTTTAGGTGGATTCATAATTTCCGAGAATGATTGTCCCAATATACCCCTTAAACAGTCACCATGACACAATATATTGAAATAATCTATGCGATAACCATGCATATACAAAGCAGCACTCAACAACATAGATATAATCATAATCACTGCAATAACCAAGAGATAAGTTTCTCCTTTAAAAACTGAGGTAAAAAACTTATAACCGGGTATATTAGCTTCCACTGGAATCATAATGCAGCCATTTAATTGTTCATAGGCATATGTATAACCTCTAAAAGGTATTTGTGGAAAAGTTAAACCAGCCGATATCTCTACTGTGCCATTACGTACAGCTTTAATGAGGTCTTGTGATGGTATCGGTTTGTGTGGTCTAAACGGTAATGGTTGCACCAACACACAGTTGTATTTTTTGGCAAATGCCTCTATAAAATGTCCCACAAATCCACCTATAATTTCTTTGCCTTTAGATGTTTTGTAAGGTATAATACGTGGATCAGAACCGCCTATAACTATGGGTAATTTATAGCCTTTTAGGTTTCTCAAACGATATGGATAGACTGCTTCTTGTTCATTGGGATTTGCCGCTATAGTTTTTATCTCCAAACGAAATTCGGGGAAATGAGTGTAACTGTAGAATTTTCGCGTTGTCTGAAAGAAACAAAAAATGGAATCGGTGTATACGGCGAAGAAGCAAAACAAATTATGTTTTATTAAAATTTTTATAAGGAATCCAACTGATTTATTTATGCAAATTATTTATTTGGGAGAAAGAAAGGGTTTTTGTATAACTTTGATATTAACATGCATAGAGAAACATACAAAGAGCTGATAATTAAAAAATATAAGGGAATGATATCGGCTAAGTTTATATATACAATTTTGATCCGATTATCACAAGCATATTCTAACATGATTTTTATTGAATTTAATGAAGAATGTTAATCAAGGGAAATAAAATGAATTTTGAACAAGGGAAATAAATCTTTGCAGAAAATAAATGTTATACAAGAATTTGGACTTAATAATCCGATCGGGGGCGATTACTTTTGGTAAGCGACATTGTTGCGTATACGTCTCTATGATTAAATGACACATATCAAGCATGGAAAATTCATTACTCTTTGATCTATGACTTTTTCGGTACTTTTTCTAACAGATGAACTTTTGGTAAATAGTCCACAAAATAGCTAATAGACTAGTATCTAGTCAATTATACTCTAGTTTACAGACTAGTCTGTAGTCTAGTTTATAGTCTAGTCTATAGTCTAGTCCATAGTCTGGTCTATAGTCTAGTCTATAGTCTAGTCTATAGTCTAGTCTATATTCTAGTCTATAGTCTAGTCTATAGTCTAGTCTATAGTCTAGTCTATAGTCTAGTCTATAGTCTAGTCTATAGTCTAGTCTATAGTCTAGTCTATAGTCTAGTCTATAGTCTAGTCTATAGTCTAGTCTATAGTCTAGTCTATAGTCTAGTCTATAGTCTAGTCTATAGTCTAGTCTATAGTCTAGTCTATAGTCTAGTCTATAGTCTAGTCTATAGTCTAGTCTATAGTCTAGTCTATAGTCTAGTCTATAGTCTAGTCTATAGTCTAGTCTATAGTCTAGTCTATAGTCTAGTCTATAGTCTAGTCTATAGTCTAGTCTAGTCTTTGATATGTATCTAATGTCAAATTTGGTCGGATATATTCGACGATTAAATAGAAAAATATGGGAGTTAAGGTTAATTTTCGGACAAAATTTCTATGGATAAAATGTCAAATTTTGGACCGATCTTAGTCATTTAATGCATGTATTCTAAAGTAAATAATTCTATAAATATTAATAAATTTTTCAATATTTAAAACATTATACTAGGAATTAAAAACATTTACAACAAAATCACTTCCTACTTCTAGAAAAACCTCACTCACTCACCTGATAGTCTGCCAATAGTGCTACAACATTTATAATCTTTTGCTGCCAACAATGTTGGAATAGTCGCCGTACAACACCTTGAATAACATCTTCATCAATTATGGCTGCTTTAGTAGCAATCGCACCACGACCGTCATCATCATCACTTCTTCTTATATTCAATGGAAAATTCAAAAGAAACATGACTTTAGATGTCGTCATATGTAACAAGTTTCTAGATAATTTCTCTAGCAAACCTTTATGATCATTTAAAGTCATTTGAATGCCTTCGATATTAATATCAATATAAACAATTGATAGAAGATGTTCGCAATAGTGACGTTTTAGATAAAAACTTTGCAATTCATTTAATTGCAAAACTGGCACCTGTAAACTGGCCATGAGGCAGTTAGCAAATGTCGCGCACATTGGTGTTGCAACCATTTCACTCAAAACTCTCAGGCCTGGCCTGTTACTAGCAGATGTAATGTTGGTATTATTATAATTTCCCTGCAACACTTTATTTAGGTGTATATAGAAAACGTTGGAAATTGTTGCATTATGATTTTGCATTATTAAAATTGTATCGTAATGCTTTAACTCCTTAAGGAATTCGATTGCAGTAAAATTTCCATAAAGTTCAGCGTCATTGTCATTGCGGCGATTGCTGTTGGCCAATGTGTGTTTGGCTTTTAGAGAAATTATTAATGTTAATAAAATTATTATTATAATGTTAATGCGGTTTGTCATTAAATATAACATCTTGGTGTTATTTTGACTTTAGATGAGTTTTATAAAGTTTTTTAGGTTTGTTTTAGAGCTGTGAATGACTTTGGTGATGGTCTTCTTGATGGCGCTGTTGCGGTTGTACGAAAAGCTTTCTGTAGCTTCAACAATATTCTTGGAAATAATTGTTGTTTTACCTGAGGCGTGGATATTTATCTCTATTTTTATAGTTTTTTGTTATTTAGTAAAGTTTACTTTTTTTCTATTTAGATTCTAAATTGGCTTCATGTACAGTTGTGTTGTAAATAGGGACATACGCGGAGACGACTTGGTAGGGGCAGAACTAAATTATGTTGTATCATTAGCGGAAAAAGTCAAAGGCGTATGTTATATTTATTTTACGAATAAGTAAGTGCATTGGATCTGAACTGGGGCAGAACTAGAACTGAACTAGAACTGAACTAGAACTGAACTAGAACTGAACTAGAACTGAACTAGAACTGAACTGAACTAGAACTGAACTAGAACTGAAATAGAACTGAACTAGAACTGAACTAGAACTGAACTAGAACTGAACTAGAACTGAACTAGAACTGAACTAGAACTGAACTAGAACTGAACTAGAACTGAACTAGAACTGAACTAGAACTGAACTAGAACTGAACTAGAACTGAACTAGAACTGAACTAGAACTGAACTAGAACTGAACTAGAACTGAACTAGAACTGAACTAGAACTGAACTAGAACTGAACTAGAACTGAACTAGAACTGAACTAGAACTGAACTAGAACTGAACCAGAACTGAACTAGAACTGAACTAGAACTAGAACTGAACTAGAACTAGAACTGAACTAGAACTGAACTAGAACTGAACTAGAACTGAACTAGAACTGAACTAGAACTAGAACTGAACTAGAACTGAACTAGAACTGAACTAGAACTGAACTAGAACTGAATTAGAACTGAACTAGAACTGAACTAGAACTGAACTAGAACTGAACTAGAACTGAACTAGAACTAAACTAGAACTGAACTAGAACTGAACTAGAACTGAACTAGAACTGAACTAGAACTGAACTAGAACTGAACTAGAACTGAACTAGAACTGAACTAGAACTGAACTAGAACTGAACTAGAACTGAACTAGAACTGAACTAGAACTGAACTAGAACTGAACTAGAACTGAACTAGAACTGAACTAGAACTGAACTAGAACTGAACTAGAACTGAACTAGAACTGAACTAGAACTGAACTAGAACTAGAACTGAACTAGAACTGAACTAGAACTGAACTAGAACTGAACTAGAACTAGAACTGAACTAGAACTAGAACTGAACTAGAACTGAACTGAACTAGAACTGAACTAGAACTGAACTAGAACTGAACTAGAACTGAACTAGAACTGAACTAGAACTGAACTAGAACTGAACTAGAAGTGAACTAGAACTGAACTAGAACTGAACTAGAACTGAACTAGAACTGAACTAGAACTGAACTAGAACTGAACTAGAACTGAACTAGAACTGAACTAGAACTGAACTAGAACTGAACTAGAACTGAACTAGAACTGAACTAGAACTGAACTAGAACTGAACTAGAACTGAACTAGAACTGAACTAGAACTGAACTAGAACTGAACTAGAACTGAACTAGAACTGAACTAGAACTGAACTAGAACTGAACTAGAACTGAACTAGAACTGAACTAGAACTGAACTAGAACTGAACTAGAACTGAACTAGAACTGAACTAGAACTGAACTAGAACTGAACTAGAACTGAACTAGAACTGAACTAGAACTGAACTAGAACTGAACTAGAACTGAACTAGAACTGAACTAGAACTGAACTAGAACTGAACTAGAACTGAACTAGAACTGAACTAGAACTGAACTAGAACTGAACTAGAACTGAACTAGAACTGAACTAGAACTGAACTAGAACTGAACTAGAACTGAACTAGAACTGAACTAGAACTGAACTAGAACTGAACTAGAACTGAACTAGAACTGAACTAGAACTGAACTAGAACTGAACTAGAACCGAACAAGAACTGAACTAGAACTGAACTAGAACTGTTGTCTGCTGCGAAAGAGCTTATTTACTTGTTTTAAGGGAAATGCAGTTCGAGGTAGGTAACTGGACTATCATAAGGCCTCTTGGAATAATGAAAAAGTGATTAGAACTACAAAACCCTAACGAGAGCTGTAAGAAGTCTCCTCAAAATTAGCAAGTCAGAGATTAGAATGAAGGAGAGGCCAGTGAAAATCTGATGCATTTTCTTTATAATTTTCTGGCTTTGGATGAAATTAGATCGAAAGTGATCTTTGAAGTGATATTATCACGAACACAGGTTGGAAAATTCCTAGGAATTACATCCATGAAACTGAGTTTCTGAACAACGGACGGTAATTACTATATAAGGTATTTTTTTTACCAAACATTTTCCATGAAAAGGAGCACACAACAGGCTGTAGTTGACATTCTCCTATTAACGTGACCTATTCCTTGTACATATATGGCCACTTAGCAAATTTCAACATAAGTTTATAATCCATGTACGGATGTTGCGTACTTGCTTGTACGGTTTTAGATTTATACAAATCATTCTCTTTTGTTAAAGTTAGTTTAGATCAGAAGTCTTGAATATGATAATCCCTTTTATAGATAGAACCACGTCCCTGACTTTATTTGTTTATTTAAACACAAAAATCATGGTCACTCGTTTTTTTGTTTTACACTTGTGCTAAACTTTATTTTAATGGGATCCCTAGGGAAGGTACACTTTAGCTAAATTCAGTTTTCTATATTGGTTGGTGTCTCTCTTTCTCTGTTATTATCCGTTGTTTTTTGTTGTTTCGGTGTTTATTCAAGGCATTAAAATTCTGCCATCTGAAAGGCTTAATTTACAACATTTCCATGTAGTGCGTGTCGCTGGAGTCATGTTTGTCTTTTAGTTTCTTTAGTAGGTTTTTTTTACTATTATTATTATTTTTTGTTGTATTATACTCTTGATATGAATAGTTTGATTGTGCGGTTAAATGTTTATATACATAAATATATTTTTTAATTGGCCAAAAGTGTCAGTATTTAGCTAATTGTACTAATTGTTAGTAATAAAATATTTAACATATCCATTAAAATGTCCATTATAGTAATATTTTTTTAGACACCCAATAAAATACACATTTTTATACGTTGTGGTGTAATATGGCAAAGTTAAGGCATTTTTTTCATTATTTTGTTTTATATTTATTTTATTTTAAGATTTAAGAGCCAAACTCATTTGCGGAATAAAGTCATGAAGAGTAGTAGTTGGGGTTTTAGTATTACTGTATTATTTTCTTCATTTATTTATTTTGTTTTTAATTCCTTAGAAGGCGTCTGTCGTTTTTATTTGGTTTCAAGTCAATGTTGTCTTGCAGGCATTTTTGGTTATAAATCTCAATGCTCTTGTACACATATTTCTGGTAATGAGGATAATCGCGATAATTAAGCTTATGGATTAACATTGGTGGTGTAATATGATTTTTTTCTTTCATTTATTTATTTAAGGTATGTTATCTTTTTAGGCAATATTTGACAATTAAATTTGATTTGTACAAATTGGTTAATTCATAGTTTTGGATGGTTTATATGATACTTATTATTGAAAAATTCCAACTGTCTAAAGTGGCAACAAATTAAGAAATATTTATGTGTTTGTGACTATAAATACAATTGTATGAAATATATCGCTGAAAATTGGAAATGAAAATAAGCATTTCACCCATTATTGTACATCTGAAATAAAGACTTCCTAATTTGTTCGATCTTGTGATCTCTGGACCAACATATAAAAATTTTGATTAGAGAGTCACATTCATGGGACAACACAGAGCATAAAAGAGCATTGTAACATGAATCCAAATTCGAAAACCACACAGCTAAAGTAGACTTATTAGGTTTTTGGTTGACCGTTTTTCTTGTCCCATGTTAATAGTTAATGGACACTATGACACTTTTTAGTGTGTCACAAAGTCCATGGACATTATGACACTCCACCCCTGGATCCACTATCATGATCACTTTGTAATACCTATAAACAGAAAAGGTCAGCATATTAATATATTTTGACCTTATTACTCTGGATCCTTTCTAAACCGGAAGAAGGAATTTATTTTTCGGATCAAGCTAGAAGTGTCTTTCTAGCGAACTAAACATACATATATTTTACTAGAGCTTATTACTATGGATCCTTTTCAAATCAGAAAAAGGAATTTATTTTCCAAATCGTACTGTAAGTAGCTTCCTAGAGAGCTAAACCTATATTTTGTTAGGGCCTGAAGATCAGTGGACTGTAAGCATTACAACGTTAAATAAGGCTTATGATCGTAGTTGGTTATATACTGGCCACATGATCCTCGGCGTTCTACACGTAGCCTTAGTCATGTTGTTTTAAGATTTCTAGAACAGAACTTATAACCTTTCTCTTAGGCATGTTTTCTGTACCAAACGGATAGCCGGTGCTAAGGCAGGAGAGTTACAGAGTTGATGAGAAAACGTCTCATCTTCATCCTCATTTTGACAACTTCTACAGAAATCATTGAACGGAAGACCAATATGTCTAGCGTAGTTACTAAGTTTGCAGTGGCCATAAACGATCGACTTCAGCTTACCTACGAGGATCCATAGGGGACCACAGCGTTCTATTTTTTAAGCAAGTATGCCCACTCGACTATCGGTTCTGAGCAGTAGATTTACAGTTATCTATAATATGTCTTTTTATTGAAAGTAGTGGAACACCACTGACCTGTGTGGATCCATATGGCGCCGCAACGCTCTATCTATCTAGCAAGAGTGGTCATACAACCATCGGTACTGAGCAGTATAGTTACAGTTATCTAACTATAATCTGTTCACTTAACGTGGTTCCAGCTCTAGCCAAAGTGTCAGCAATTTTATTACCATACTTCCGTGTCCTCTGGATAGCAGCTGGACTGTCGGTAAAAATTCTGATAGATATCCGTTAGTACCAGTTTGATGCCTAAGCTCGAAGTATACTGCAGTCACCATTGAGTCTGAAACTGATTTCCATTCCAAATTTCAAAGATGCCCCTTCAAAATTCTTTTGTCTTCGTGGATCTGTCTGCATACACACGGAAACAATTGTTTAACTGATATTGGAATTGTCGGCATGCAATAATTGATAGAAGATCTATGATCTTCGAGTGACCTCTGGAACAAATATTCCATTTGCCTATTATGCTCAATTTGGCGGCAGTGTACATAGCAATTTGTTTGGCTAGAAGATCAACTGTAAGACAGTTGAGTATAGCAAACAACGCCTTTGAAGGTGTTGTTCTCAGGGCCCCGGTAATGAAAAGCGCAGAAGATCTTATAACCTTTTCAAGGTGCTCTCGTGAAGCTGTATATTTCCTAATATTTCTCCTGTATAATTCTTCAAAGCCTCAGTTATAGAGGATATATATCGAACTATAATATTAATAAAGACATTCTTAACATTAGTGCTTCAAATCGGTAGAAAAAGTTACATATTATTAAGTAATTGTTCATCCATTTTACCCTATTCAATAAAACATTTCTTTACACGTCCATTCTTTAATTTGTTTCTTTAGCACTCCACTCTAAATTGCTACTCTCTTTGTACAAACATCAACATCAATTAAGAGGCAGGAATATTCTTTGACCTCATCCCGCTGTCAATTTACAAATTACTTACGTACACTTGTTAAACAATGATTAAGAGTTTCAAAATTGTCTGTTTTTTGTCTTTTTTGTGCGTACTTCAATTTCGTTGTTGTTGTTGTTGTTCATGATTAGACTTATTAGTAAATAAAACATTTCATCTAACGGTTAGTTTTTTAAAATTTTCATTGATAGTTAAGTAAGGTAGTGTGGAGATCCTCTCATTCTTTCATTGATGATGACGATAATGATGAAAATAATGATTGTTTTGTGGTATATACATACATAAGTTTGTCTGTCTGTCTGTTGGATTTCGTAAAATACTTTTTACCTTATAAGCCACATCAATGATGTTGAGGCTTATAATGATGAAGAACGATGACGCTGGGGCCGATGATGGAGATGACTGTGACGACAATGATGATAATAATGAAAAATGTTAATTGAAGCAAAATGCAGCAAAGATCAAAATCAACATGCCGCCATAACAAAACTTATGTTTTTTTGTTATTGTTGTTGTTTCTCTCTTTCGCTCTCTGATCTGACAACGTCGCTGACATTGCGTTAATTATTTTATCGATGTTCAAAGCCAAGATATAAAACATACAGTAACAATGAAACGATCTTAAAAAAAGTGTATATTTAGAAAAAATGCAACATGTAATGGTTACAAAACCAACAACAACAACAACAAAGAAAACGAAAACATATGAATGCAACATCAGCAAAAAACAACAAAAAACGGAGGTTACCACTTAAGGAAACGCATAAAAGCTCATGTTAACAGCTGCACATGTCAGTTTAGTAGCAGCAACAACAACAACATCAGACAGCAGCAGCAGCAAACAACACACAAAACTCTACTCAAATTGTTTGGGATGACTGTGTGTTTATTGTTGCATGTTAAGAAGCGGCAGTTGTCAGTCAAAATCAAAGTGATGAGATGAAAAACTAAATTACAAAAAAAGAAAAATTAAATATACCAAACTATAGAAAATTAAATAAACAATGTATGATAATGGAGATCACATCGCATCTGAAACTAAGTACTTTTGAGGTTAAAAAGAAATTCACGTAAAAGCAATCAATACTCACTTCCATTTAAATAGTTTTTATTCAGCACTCATGTTGGTTAAATGGAAAATGTGCATGATTATGCGTATGAAAGAGTTATTCGTATCTAAAAGTATTGCGGTACATCGTTGGCTTGTTCAGAATTTACACCTAATGTGTGTTCTTTGGGATTTTTTTTATCTCATAGACAATTTCTCCGGAATGTTTGCATATTTTTAATGTTGGGCACAAGCAAACTTTTGTAGCAAAAAATCATTGCTTTTAGGGAATTTAACTGATTTGCAAGTCTTTACATCCGTTTAGCTTATGTGCAAATTTAGTTTGAGAGCATTTAACACCGAGCAGAAACAGCTATCAAATAGTTGCCTAAATGGTCTTTCTATAGCCAGGCTGAAACCAAAATTTCCCTGTACGTTACTGGTATCCACCACATATCAAGTAAGAATGATAAGAACACAAGATTTCATACAATTATCAGTCCCAACAAGAGACAATATTATGACACAGTACTATAATGCCGATAAACACCACTAAACAAATCACGCAGTACTCGAACAGTACGTGATCGGTGTCCTCTCGTTCCTCGTACATACATTTCTAAAGCAAAAATTGAGTATGCCCTGTCCCCCGATGAGATTTGGCTTTTTAATGACGCTTCAGTAAAAACTCCAGGCTCAAGGTGATTCCAAAAGTCTGGCATGACGTACAAACGTCATGAATGAAGCTGCATGTAACCTTGATGAACTTCCCCTATCGTGGTGTGATTAAAATCCCGGGGTAAAAGTGGTGCTACCAATACCTCGAGTATACCGGAACTATAAACGGGTGGTGTCAAACGTATCTTCGGTGGTTGTGGTTTAAAGACAAAATCGAGAGAAGAGACTGATGGTTAAAGACTGATGTACGTTAAAATGTATATTTCTTAATAAGTTCGGTGTTGTTGGCGAAAATATGGTATCTGTTGAGAAGTGACTGTAGGATTAATGTTGAGACTAGGTTGGTGTTAAATGAATAAGATAGAAAATGACCAAAAATGAATGTGTCAGAAAAAAATGATAAGTGTGATGGGTTGAATGGTGAAGGATGTACGGTACCTTATACAAAGATACCCCAGAGGTAAGTGAATGTAGGCTTAAGCATTTGAAAAGTAAGAATTCCATTTAACAAATCAATATTAGTTCT